AATGGTGCCCTCTTAAAATGAAGGGCAGACAGTTTTGGGAAGAATTCAAGCAAATAATGAGTGAGAAGGGAGGCACCGTGTCATCAGCCACACCAGTGGGGTCAACCTGCTCTCTTAATGAGGAGACATATGTCACAGCCAGACTGTAGCCCCAGAGGTGGGAATTGATAGCCCAGAATCAAGAGCTCATTATGAGAAGCACTTGAACTGTCTTAGAGTGACGGGGAGTGCTCCTGGGTGTGAACGATGAGCTTGTGGAATGATGACACAGTAAGGGCTGGTGCCGTGCACTACGTGTGTGTGTTCAGAGCAGGTGAGACGAGGAAGAGGGTATTGGATGCCTGATTGTGAGCACAAAGGGTCTCTCTCTGAATCCTTGGACAAGTCACGTTGCATCTCTTTATTTGTACAATTTCCCTCGTCCACAAATTGAGGGGTGTATATTCTTTTATGACAGCTCTAGAATTCTTGGATTCTTTGATTCTCCTTTAGATTAAAAAAATTGAGAATGAGCTAAAAATTGCCAACTTGTGTCTTGTAAGCAAGAAAATACAACCAGAGGAAAAGTCCACACCCTGCGTTGCTTCTCTGCAGCGTGGTGTCGGGCATGGGCATGGTGTTGGGCATGGGCATGGTGTGGGGCATGGGCATGGTGTCGGGCATGGGCATGGTGTCGGGCATGGGCATGGTGTCGGGCATGGGCATGGGCATGGTGTTGGGCATGGGCATGGTGTTGGGCATGGGTGTGGTGATGGCAACAGTATCGCGTAACAATGTTGGCATTTTTCCTAGGAGGCAGATGCCTCCTCCCGCCTCCTGCTCTGTATCTTCCATATGGATGTGTTATTACTGATGAGAAAACTGGGAGGGAGACATAGTTCTCAGGTGTTTGGGAGAAGGAGGGAGATGTTGAAATCATTGGCATTGTTTGCCGAGAGGAGGTGACTTACAGGCTCATAGCATGCAGGAAGCAGAAAAAATAATGTTCAGATGACTGACATTTGCTTAGGGACCTGTGGAATGCGAGTGTGATGTAGTTTCAGTCCTAAATCAGTGGTATCTGCTGTGGAAAACACCTGACTTTGGAACCGGAGATTTAGCGGTGGTCTCTATACCTCCACCCATTGCTCCCTGGGCTTTCCTCTCCAAGTGTCAGCTGGGAGCTCTGCAGAGCACGGTGGCTCCTACCATCTTCTTTCCTCAGTGATGGGAGGGCACTTCTTTCCTTCCTTGGTGTACGAGGGCTACCATTCCAGAAAGTGTTCCAAGGTGCGAGGTGGATGTTGTAGTACAATCATGGCCTGTGCGTGTGCACGCACGCACACACAGATGTGTATGTGTGGGCAATGTGTAAGAGAAAAATTGAGAGAGAATAGGAATCTTGGGTTCGAATAGTTTCTCTCAACTAATGACAAGAAAACTAACGCTGTCTCCTTTCCTAAGATCCAACAGCACCACCACCACCCCTCCCCATTGCAGCCCGTCCCTAAAGACACAGGGATGCCTGTGTCACCTCTGCTTCTAACCTGCGATTGCTGGAAGGCAGAACCACTCTTCCTGTCCCAGGGCAGTGGAGAATGTGCTGAGAATTTCAGTGTGCCTGGAAGTTTTAATAGTCTTTATTTTCAACTAGAAACTGTAGCTGTTAATTGATCAGGCTCCATTCTAAACAGTTTCCTTGGGTTTAAATTTCACACCACCACCACTAGGTGGTTAGGCGTGATGACCACTTGCATTTTCCTGATGAGAAGACTGAGGTCTAGAGTGGAATCACTTCCTTCCCGAGGCTGTATGGTGGCAGAGCTCTTCTTTGTACAATTACTCTGAGCCACCAGGGAATAATGCCTCTCCTAGTACAGGGGCAGCTGCTTGCAGCCAAAAGACTCAGGGGAAATGGTGGAGGGTGGAGCCCCGTTGCTCAGGGAGGTGATGGGTTGTATCTGCCCTTCGTGTCCCTTGCTAATCCCTCAGCTGAGAGACGAGTTCTGTGTATGGATTCCTCACCTCCCTTACAGGAGAGGTGTGGGTGCCTGTGCCACAGCTGTTGAGAGTATGGGAAAACTTGGGACGCTGGTGGCCTCCATGGTTTTCCTTGGCAGTCACTCTGTTCCACCTGTGCACTGAGCTCACCTCCCTTTCCCTCAGATGAACTTCCTGTTGGAAACCTGGCCTCTCCCTGGTGTCTGACCAAAACAAAACAAAACAAAACAAAAAACCCACTCTCCTATGGCATCCCTGCTCCCTGAGGACCTGGTGTCTGGCTCTGCATGGAGGACACTGGCTTTACTGTAGTAAAAGACAGGGAGGTCTCCTCTCAACAGCTTTGCGGTAAGGATGGCACATGCCAAACAATGCTTCCAGAAGCTTCTCTGGCAGGATATCAGGGGTTAAATTGGAGAGACGGAAAGCATGTGGCGAGAGGCTTTTGTGGTTGGCAGGAGACAGGCTTCACTTGGTGGGTGGCATTATGCCCATGGTGTGGGAGGGATTGTGATAATTCGGGTGCCCAGGGCGGTGCCAGCCCTCGTCCTGGCCGCCCTCCAGCAGTGTGAGCTCAGATGCTACTGAGCATCAGATTCTGCTGTGCTTCGTCTGCCCCATCTCTGACCATGACCGTGTTCCTTGGTCCCCTGGCAGTGGTGCCTGCCTGGCATAGCGGCACTTGGCATTCCAACTGCAGTGGCAGGTCCAGTTCTGACCTCTGACATCTTCCATCTTCACCCCTCCCCAAGGTAGTGTAGGGGACGTCATCTGCGTTGGCTTCTCACTGGGAAGTTTTTCATGGTGCCATAGAAGTGACCTTGGGCAACCCATCGTACAACCCGGCTCCTCTAGACCCTGCCCACACTCATCCACACCCGAGGGTCTGCTCTCTGTTGTAGATCAATTTTTTCTTTCCACTTCCACTTCCACCGAGTTGATTTCTCCTTTCATTCTGGAATGTTGCTGCTGCTGCTGCTGCTGCTGCCTGGTGACTCCTTCATGATGATCAGGAGCCACCCTCATCTCAGCCAGAGGCCAACATGGCCCCGTGATGGAGGGCAGTGGGTTTCCCCCCAAAGCTGCAACACTGTGGACCTGCTATTCCTTGTATCCCCTGACAGTGTCCATTTCTCAGATTTCCTGTATCTCATGGGGGACACATAACTGACTCAAACCCTTGGGAGCATCAGTGTCCTCAGGTGGACGAAGAAGTCCATATTTCTAAACTGAATTCCTCAACAAGATGGAGTGCCATGATCCTGAGACCCTGGGTGAAATTCACATTCCTGCATAAAAAACGTGCTGAACGGGGGCCATGGATCAGAGTGGAGACTCCTGGGGAACAGTTGGGTCTGCTTTTACTGAAGTTAAACTCAGTTTCAGAGTCAAATGCCCTTGTCCTTTTCTAATGCATGCAGTTGGAGAGAGGCACCCTGACCTTCCCAGTCCCCCACACTGGGGACTTACTCACCAGCTCTCCTGGAAGTCTCAGCGTGTCTGTTGGCCTGGTGAATGCCTTTGTCCTCTGAGTTGGGCATGTCGTTAGCAGGAAGCTTTTCTCCATATCTTTATTGGTGCATTTAGTTGTCCATAATGGTAGGATTCATTGTTGCATATTTGTAGATGAACTTGATATATAACAATGTAGTTTGGCCAATATCATTCCCCAGGATTTTCCTCCCTCTACCCTTCCCCTGGTTCCTTTCCTTACTTTACTGGTCTCCCTTCAATTTTCATGAGATCCCCACCACAACCTTCTTTATTTCTTTATTTCTTTTTTTCCTCTCTAGCTTTCACATGTGAGAGAAAACTCACAACTCTTGACTTTCTGGATTTGGTTTAACATGATATTCTCGATTTCTATATATTTTCCTAAATGCCATAATTTCATTCTTCTTTATGGGTGAATAACACCCCATTGTGTATACATACCATGTTTTCTTTAATTATTTATCTGCTGAGAGACACCTAGGCTGGTTCCATAGTTTGGTTATTGTGGATGGTGTTGCTATAAACAGAGGTATGTGCATGTCACCATTGTATGCTGACTTTAACACTTTTAGAGTAACACTGAGGAGTGGCTTAGCTGTGTCATATGGTGGCTCCATTCCTGTCTTTTAAGGAAACTCCATACTGATTTTCATGGTGGTTTACCAACTGGCTATCTGCCAGCAGTGTAAAGGTGTGTCTTTGTCCACATCCTCTCCCACACTTATTATTGTTTGTGTTCTTTGTTTAATAACTTTATTATTTATTTATTTATTTTTTTATGTGGTGCTGAGGATTGAACCCACTGCCTCACACATGCGAGGCAAGTGTTCTAACCACTGAGCCGTAGCCCCAGCCCTGGTTGTGTTCTTGATGGAGTGAGATGAAATCTCAGTGATGTTTTGATTTGTATATCTCTAATTTAATGATTTGATTTTTTCTCTAGCTTTTTTGATATTTTTCCTCTAGCTTTCGAGCTTTTTTGATATTTTCCCTCTAGCTTTCGTAAATGAGATGATTTGATTGGATTTCTCTATGATGTTGAATATTATTATTATTATTTTTTGAGACAGGGTATTGCTGACTTTGACCTTGCAGTCTTCCCCACTCAGCCAAAGGATTCCGGGTGTACACAATTGCACCCAGCTAGATCAATCTTGATTTTGAAATTGTTGAATAGTTTGTGGATATATTATGGTATATATAACCATTTGCCTCCTGTTAAATATTTAAGATGGTTTCTTTTGCTAGTAAAGATGGTGCTTGTATTTGTTGACCAGTTTTGTTTTTCTTTTGTAAAATGTCTGTTTAATACACTTGCCAGTTTATTAACTGGATTACTTGGTTGTTTTTTTTTTTTTTTTGGTGTTTCAGTTTTTGAATTCTTTTATATATTCAGGATATTACTCCTGCATCAGGATAAGTCTGAAGCCCAAATCTTCATGTGTTTGTGTCCTTTATTCTCATAACTCTTATGATTTTTTTAGAATCCACTAAAAATAAACCTGCTCTCCTCTTGTGTCTTGCAGGAACTACCTCTTCAGATTGCAGCTTGAGGACCTGTCTCTTATCCAGGTAGGCGCTATTTATTGTTCTCAGCTCTCATTTTCCATCCCAATTAACTCAGTTTTGAGGGCAGGGAGACCGAAGCAAGGGTGCCCGTCGAGGCGGGGCAGTGTCTCACTTCTCAGCTGTTCGGGCCCCAGGACTCTGGCTGTCCTGTTGGTGTGAGTCGCCAGCCACTTAGCTGATGACCATCAGCCACTTCCTGTTCCCTGTGACCTCGTGTTTCACAGGAGCCATCCTGACTTACTCTTCCTCAGGTGACAGCCAACTCAAGGACATTCCTGCAAAGTCTAGAGTGTCCCTTTGCTCTCCAAGAGCACCTATTGCTCATGGGGTGTGATTCATGCGATTCAGCCGTCATGTTCTTAGCAAGCGTCTTAGTTTCCTCTTTCTGTTCCTAATTAGATAAATATGAATCTAGGGCTTAAGATCTACACAGAGCAAAGAATAAACAAAATAGATCAAAATAAAATTTTTATTTCTGTTACTGCTGATTGGAGACTGAGCCAGGATTCCTTGTGTCTCCGATTTTATTTTAGTGGTGACAGGAATTGTAACAGCCCCCTCGCTCTCCCTGGTGTTCGGGGAAGGTGTGATGATCAGGGTCTCTAGAGAACAAGATGGTTGGGACACAAATGTCTCAAACTCTCACAGGAATTCTCAAATGCCCTGTGGGCCATGTCAGGATCCCTGAGCTGGGCACAGTTTGGAAAATGTTTTTCAACCTATTTTGGTATCATCCTCATGTCCTAGGCTAAGAGAAGTGACTGGGGAGGAATTTATCATATGGTTTTATTCTCTTGGTAATGCTGGTACTTGTGAACATTCAGGAAACTAATTTAGAGCTATGTTTTAATATTAAATTTGTCTTTTTTATTTGTTGGGGTCTTGAAATAAGACAATCCACAACCAAAGCTAATATTGGTTAAAAGCATGAGCTTTGAAGACCCTACACCTGGGTCTGTGATCTAGCGCCAGGCCTGTCAGCCGTTATTGGTTTCCTCATCAGCAAAATGGCCACAAACCACAACCAAGCCTCTCCATCACGAGGAACTGGAGCAAGGCAGGAGAAGAGAGGAGAACAGTGACTTCTCCATGAACACTGGCTCAGCTTTGAAAAGTGAGAATGACTAGTAATAAGTCACTGGATTGTCCACAGGGATGATCACAGCAGCAGATGAGAAACAAGAATCCATGGACACATTCAAACAAGGACAAGACACAACTTAGGGAATGAGGTGGAAGGGATGGCCTGTGCTTACATAAAATGCCAGTGAATGAACACTGGAGGAATGATTTAGTCCAGGCATTATGATTTGGCAGTCTTCACACTAAAACACTTCTAATGCAGAAATGATCCATGACTGCTAAGATGTTGAATCTGAGTTTGATGACAACGGGGCCCTTACACAGTCTCACAGAATCACCTGTTTACTAGTTGTTAGTCACGAGTGGAACCTTCAACTCCGCAGTGAAGACACCTGGCAGATACTTCACACCAGCTAGCGCAAAGTGATTTCACTAGTAACAGGAAAAAGTCTATGGATTTGTGGCCCTGAAAAAGACACAGGAAGATTCCAGCAAAATTTATAGCCAGGGTCATCATGAGGAACCCTCCAACAAAGCCAGACAGAGGGACGCCCTACAGAAAGCTGGCCTCTGCCCTTCAAACATCAAAGTCGTGAAGGATATGAAAACAGGACGAAGAGTTATTCCACCACCAAAGAAGACAAAGAAACACAACCGTCATGCACGACTTGATCCAAATTGGTTCTTGGACCTGTATTTATTCCTTCTTACTCTAAGGGATATTATTGGGATGACTTAGAGACTGTGATTGTAGGTAAGATAGTAGATATGTGTTAATACCCATTCCCTGACTTCGGTAACTTCATTGGTATCTCAGAGAGTGCCCTTGCCCTTTGGGAAAGTCTACTGAAATATATAGGGTAACAGATGTCATTTTGGTGACTTATTTTTAAGTGATTTTAGAACTTACTGCATAAATATGTACAGAAGATATATACATATGAAGACAGAAAAAATGATAAAGCCAATGTGATGATATGTCCATGGGGGACAGAAGTGGAGGGTTCATGAGAGTCCTTTGTGACATTTTTGCAGCTTTTCTTGATGTGATGTTACCATTAACATGTGAATATAACATTTCCGTGCCAAGGCAAGGAAACTCACTGCCCATTGCCCATGCCCACTTCCTTGCCCAGACTGCCTGCCTGTGGGGGGAGGCAGGTATAGGGCTTATGGAGCTGAGGTCTCTTGCTGGCAGTACCACGGGTGAGAGCCTCCTCTGGCCACACAGGGTCCAGCGAGGCAGTGAGCGCTGAGAGGTGGTGCTGGGAGCGCAGCCCTCAGGACAAGAGTCTTTGAGCACCCTTGGTGCCCAGCAGTGCCGCTCGCCTTCTCACACCCCGAGTGTGTGTGCAGTTCTGTGGCCCGCTGTTTACTTAGCATGGCGAGGGATACAACTGGCAGTTCTTCATGACACTACTTTTTCCCTACACGTCTCCAGGAAAGAGGTCTTGTTGATTTCTATGAATATTTTATTTTAATTTAAATGACTACCTCCAAGGCTAACAAAGAAGAACGAGCACAGAGGCAAACAAAGTGCTGTTCTGCTCTTGTAAACAGCGCTGTCTGAGAGAAGCACGTGAGCCACATAAGTAATTTAGGATGATCCCATCGTCACATTGAAAACAGTGCAAAGAAACGGGGAGTTATTTTTAGTGATGCATTTTACTTATCTATCTAAAATATCACAATGCCAACATGGAGTCATCACAAGAAATTCAGGAGATAGGGTCCATTCCGTTTTTTAAGTAACACATTTTGGTGCCTAATCTGTGCTTTCGGCACGTTTGACTCGGGCTCACCAGACCTCAAGTGCTGAGTGGCACGGTGCCTGCCGGGCAGCGCAGTGGTGGACTGAGTGGCAGAGCACTGTGACTTGCATGGCTTCCATTATTTCTGCAAAGGATCATCTGGATTCATTCTTATAGCTCAGGCTAATCGTTTTCTCCCTCCTTCTCTCTTCAAAGATAGGAAATTATTGCTTAAATGTGGGAGGATGAGCGTACTGGGCCAAGGACTCCTAAGGTGGACAAGCAGAGGGAAGGAGGGAGGAGGACAAGGCTTCCACCCAGCTGAGCCCTCACTGGGCACTGGATGGGGCTTTGTGGGACTTCGCCCCTCTGCCATACAGTGCCATCCACCTCTGGGTGGCTGCATCTCTGCCCACCCCTGGGGACCTTCCTAACATGTCCACTAATGTCAGGTCACCCATGGTTCCCAGGCCAGCAGCTGCTCCCTAGCTTCAAGTGCTTTCTCTTGCCCTCCTCTCTCTCGACACGCTTTAACCCTACTCTATTACTCTAAAAAAGAGGGGTCCTTGACTCTCACTTCAGGTATCCCATCCTTGTAACCCCCCAAGGAAGGGTGGCTAGTGTCCTCTGGGGTGTTTCACACCCTCGGGCCTTTACTACTTCTACTTATATCTTCTGCTTTTCCTCCTCCTCCTCCAATTGAAGCCAGCCGTGCTAACCACTCATTCCCAGTACTTTTTTTTTCTTTTTTGAGACAGGGTCTTGCTAAGTTGCTTAGGACCTCACTGAGTTGCCCAGGCTGGCCTCAAACTTGTGACCCTCCTGCCTCAGCCTCCCAAGTCACTGAGATGACAAGTGTGCACCACCATGCCTGGCACCAGGTCTTTACTTCTGCCTAGCAATCACTGCCTCCTGGGCAGGCGCGCTGTGTTGGAAGGCGTGTTGTACTTGTCTTTATAGCCTCAGTGTTGTGTTAGAATCAACCATTAGGCTTCTGGTAGCTCAGAATAAATGCCTGCAGACCTTTTAATGCCTTGGCATTTAATAGTATGTTTCACTCTTTCTCCATCATTTTTACCTTAACACTCTGGGGTATGAGGTCAACTTCACGTTTTTGTTCCTAAATTTGAGAAGAGCCATAAGAATCGGTTGCTGAGCGGCATTTGAAAGCACACAGGTGCGCACACTTGGCTCAGAGAAGGCTGCAGCACAAGCAGGCAGTTCCGGGCTCTGACAGGCTCTTCCTTGAGTACCAGCCCCCTGTCTTCAACGCTCTTCTGTAATGTCAAATTTCTCCCTCAAATTATGGGCCTTTGTGTTGGTTTAACATCATTGGTCGGGAGCAGATGTGGGAAACTTCTCTATTTTTCCTTGTGTTTAGTGACCTTCACAGACCTGTGGAGCCCCAGGGAGCCCTGCTCTGCCCGTGTCCCAAGATTTAATGCACCCCTTGAAGTTGAGCAGCCCCCACACTTCCCAGCTGTGGGAGGCACAGGGATACCCCTGAGTTCATCCCCTTTCCATGAAGGCAGGGTGGGCCCCCCTTGGCTGTCCCTGGAACCTGGTCACCGGGTTACTCACCTTTGTGGAACCACGCTGAATTCCTGAGATTTTTAATAGGCTGAGAGGCCTCCCTGCAAGGTCAGATGGCATGGTGACCCTGAAGCAGGGAGCTGGAAATGAGTCAGCCGGTCTCCAAATAAGAGGTCTCTTTCTCCGCCCAAGAGACTCTGGTCTCCCTAGATAATAGAGACTTCCACAGTGAAGTCTTTAAAGAAGTAAAAAGATCTGACACGGTTGGGATGCAGGGACTCTCATACCCATAGCAACATGATCTGTTTGAGGCCAATTTCTTGGCCTCATTGCAAGAACGTTCACACTCCATGAAGTAAAAAGGCTGCACTTGGAATATTTGTTATGAAGTTCAAGCAGGTATCATCTTTAATATTGTAAGGAGAAAACTCAAGAGTTGCTGTTAATTTGAGGAAATAAAACCAATTTTTTTCATCAATGGCTGAAGAATCAAATATTAATGCGCTAACATTTGTTGTGCGTCTTTCCCCTGGAGGCTGGGGTGCACTCCTGGCCACTTGGCGTGGACCCAGGACGAGCCTCTGCCGTCTGTGGAAGACCATTCTTGGCCTCAGTCATGGTTCCCCATTAGGCATC